AGGTAGCTTTCCATATATACGAACCCCACGGAAACAGATTCCATGCATTCAGGTCCTCTACCAATATTATTAGCTCCCGATGAATAGGTTGTCTGGCCTCTCTGCCTAAAAAGCCGGCATACACAAGTAGTAGAAGGCATACTCGGACAACATCGACGTCTTCCATCCGAGTGAAACCAGCTTTCTTATTAAATAATTTCTTCAGGTCGTCGACATGTAGGTTCGGCTTCTCCATTGACTCATCCGGAAAAACCCGGGATAACCATGATGGGCGGGCGATATGACGAGTGTACCGGCCTACATCATCGTGTCCGAATCGTAGACCAGTGATTAAGCAGAACTCCTTCCGCCCAAAGCAAGTATACGCTGGTGGAAAATGAAACCATATCTCTTCCTCACCACGTTGTATACTGTCGGGTAGATTTGATGTCATGGTCTGAAGCCACAAATGGGTCAAATTAGCATCTCCACCCGGATGCTGTACTCTCAGCCATGGCCCGAAGCAGGTTTCCTCAAACAATTGTCTTTGAGCAGGTGAAAGCTTCTTTGCAATTGTAGTGGCCAGGCTGACTTTATTTCTCAAGGTCAATTGAGCCGAAAAAAATTTCTACAAAAACAATAAACATACCAAGTTAGATATACCAAAAACTACACTGTGAAGATATACCAAAAACAATAAACATAAAAAGTAGTAGTTTATTCTTTAAACTAAAATTTGCAACACTGTTTTGTCTTTTGGTTGAAATGAAAATCGCAACGAGAGAATCGCAACGCGAGATGACAATCGCAACGAGAGAATCGCAACGCGAAATGAAAATCGCAACGAGAGAATCGCAACGCGAAATGAAAATCGCAATGCGATTTTGGTTTCGCGTTGCGATTCTCTCGTTGCGATTTCCATTTCGCGTTGCGATTCTCTCGTTGCGACAGTCATTCTCTCGTTGCGATTTTCATTTATCTCGTTGCGACTCTTCTGCAAATTGAAACTTGAATGGATTGCATTACTTCAACCAAAAGACAGAACAAAGACAAAGACAAATACTAACTTGAAAATCGCAACGAGAGAATAGCAACGCGAAATGAAAATCGCAACGACAGAATCGTAACGCGAAATGAAATCTAAGTGAAATGGTTAATCTATTATTGAAATGACCAGTAAACTTATCATCAGTTTCAATATGAAAAACCTACAATAATGCAAACATTTCAAAATAAAATAATTAAAAAAACTAACCCTCGGAGGTTGATTTTCCATTTCTGAATATTGTGAGGGATTTCTGACCGTGAATGGTTGTGAGGGATTTCGCCGGAGATGGGGACGGAAATCTTCGGAGATGGGGACGGATTTCTTCGCCGTAGAGAGTGAGAGATGGAGATGGGACTGAGTTGTGATTTTAGGTTTTAGGTTATGAGTTGCGATTACGGGATTTTGTCTTAATATTCTTTTTGTAATTTGAAAATAAAATACGCGTAGCGATTATAATGGCGCTTTAAATATCGCGTTGCGATTTACGGATACGCGTTGCGATTTTATGTATTATCGTTGCGATTTACGGATACGCGTTGCGATATACGGATACGCATTGCGATTTACCCATACGCGTTGCGATTTACGGATACACGTTGCGATTTACGGATACGCGTTGCGATTTATGTGTTCGCGTTGCGATTTTCATATTCGCGTTGCGATTTTGGAAAATCGCAATGCGAATTTGTACTATCGCATCGCGATTTTCAAGAATCGCGTTGCGATTTTGGAAATTGATTTGCGATTCTGGAAACTGATTTGCGATTCTGGGGATCGCGTTGCGATTTTTATTTCGCGTTGCGATTTTGTTGGTCATTTTGGCAAATCCAAAAAAAGTTGGTTAAAATCGTATATTATAACTTTTTTTTGGTCACTGAGGCGATTTTCTCTTTTATAAATTCATCATTCTAACATAAAATCTTATGTCCATCCATGTTTGCCGGTAACATGTCTTAAGACAAGATTATCCAATGATAAATAAAGTAGAGCAAAAAAAAAAGCATTTTTAAAATAAATAAATAAAATGTGTCCATTTTGAAAAGTAAAAGCAAGACATTTGTGAAAAGTTCAAAAGCCAACATAATGGAAAATTGACTGGGAACATCTGCGATGACGGCTGTTTTCCGATGGTTATTTGTTTTATAGTGATTATAGAGAAAGGACAGAGATAAGTATGCTGAATTTTGGATGTGCTTGACTTCTTTATAAATTAGTTTAAAAATAATTACTCAATCAATACGTTAAAAGAGTTAGTTATTAAATTTGGCAAACTGTTGTACTATATCGTTAGTGTGTTGATTAAAGTTTGTATGTCTCGATTTAAGTCCACAAGTTGTATTGGGCTAATAAGAAATTAAAGTAATGTTTTAGGTTTATTTTAATAAAAACATATTTCTCAATTCATCTTTGCTTCTGTAAATTCAAAATTTTAGTAGTTTATTATCTACTCTTCGTCATCTCCGGTCAATCGTCGACTCATCTTCTATCGTTGCTATTTTATATGATATCAGAGACGATGCTAACGACGCTTCTTCCGTCGTTTACTTCATTTATTGCAACATTCACTTTCTAATAGCCTTTCAGATACGCTTTCTATCTCACGAACTTGACCATTATTTCTCACTTTACTCCCCTTCGTCTAACATTTCATCACCTCTCCGCCGCTATCATCATTTGATCGTTTTGTGTAAGTGTATCTGATTCATCGGAGCTTTGTTCTTCTTCGTCCTTCGTTGGTGGTCTTCGCATCAAATTTATTTCTCTCTTAAAGGACAAAGATTTCTGGTCAGTGGAAGTAAACTCCACTGCAAGCTGGTGTTTTAGAAAACTCCTGAAATTGAGACCAGAGGTGCATAACCTCCTTTCTTCGGGTGCTAATAATGCTAGCTCTATATGGGATTCAATTCGGAAAAAAAGGCAGAAGGTCCCATGGTAGAAACTTATTTGGTTTCCCCTTCACATCCCAAAGCATAGTCTGATAACTTGGATGACCCTACTTGACAAACTCCCTACTAAGGAACGACTTCAACGAATTGGACTTATTAATGATTGTACATGCGTTTTATGTAACTCTGATCTAGAAACAAGGGAACACCTTTTTTTATTATGCCCAACTGCTGCTTTACTGTGGGAACAAATCTTCTCACTTTCTGGTCTGCAATTTACAGCCTGTTCTTGGGATGATTTGTTGGCTATGGCGAGCTCAAATTGAAAAGGCAAATCAATATTATCTATTGTCATGAAACTGCTTTGAATGCATTAGTTTACTCACTATGGGAGGAAAGTAACAAACGACTATTCCAGGGTCGTTCAAGGTCAGTTACCGATTTACTAAAGGCTATTAAAGATATTGCATGTCTTCAACTTAAGGATAGGAAATTCAATAGAGTAGCTAATGTGAATATTACTCTCTACAATTACTGGGGTATAGATGATCACTGATTTTTTGTATGTAATTGTTTGGTATTTGAATAATAAAATTCTGATTTATCAACAAAAAAAAAGAAAGTAGGAGCCGAATGAAAAATAAACACTTATTTTAACAGAAAACTTAATAATCTAATAAAAAAATATGATTGAAATAGTTATTTTCTAAATAAACCTATATAATATAATGTGACTTTATTTTTCATGTGCGGTTCCTCGAAATGTTGTATATCTTTTGCATTTTTGAAACCTTTTTTAATATGATATACTTGCCTATAATATATTTATTTTTTAGAAGCATTAAAACCTTGGAATTCTCAAGATGAAAATCAAGCCAACAATTAGGACTAATACTGTATTTTACCAATTTCATGTGCAAAGCGACTTATAACATTAAAAAAACCCAAAAGCCACAACTTTGAATATTAAATAATAAAAGAATGCTGCAAGATAACAGAAGAATATATTTGTTTTTACCAAAAGATAGCCTATGCTGCAAGATAATAATATTAAATAGTATTAAATTATGGTTACGGTCGTAGTTGCGATACAGCTGTAATATCACAACTGTAAATATTTTGATCGTTATGATATGATTTATTTTTAAAAAAAATTATATTTTAAAATTACGGATGTAATTATAGTATCATAATAATCTTAAAAAAAACATGACGATACGACCGTGAGCGTAAATGGAGCTATCGTTGGAAGATATAGGCCTTGCAGGTAAATGACTTCCAAGACGATGAGCGGACTGTCAATTTAGACCTTGTTTCATTCAAATATAAATGAAGAAAACATGCAATACGATGTGGTTTAGCAGTCTTTTTCTTTTATACCCACAGTTGGATAAAAAGAGTAGATTCCTTCAACCATCATGTTTGAAATTAAAGACAATAAAGAAATGTCAAACTAAACATTAAAAAAGATAATAGTTTTACAGAAGCAGTGACTTTTTTTTTTAATTAATCACTGGTATCCGATCTATTGACCGATTAATCTAGTTCAGGTATTGTAGAGACGAGGGCAACCCAACTCAGTTTGCTCCATTCGCAAACGTCAGAATTTAAACCCCTAATCCTGCTTAAGGGACCTAGTATCTCATCCCACCAGAAACATAGACATTCTAAATCATAATTAAACAACCAAATACAATATATATATATAAAGTCAGTCTTTCACACGTGCAGTTTGAATCTTCAAACCCTAAACAAGTTTCCCATGCCCCGTGATTATCGTAAGCCTTTTTCCGACTAAAAAACAAAAACAATGATTTCACTATGATATGTTAAATATTTTTCAAAATATTTGAAAAATGGTTGTTGAATTGAAATCCAAACGTACGGTCCAATAAATGTTTGAAATTTGAACAAATGATGAAATTTAGTCAGTTATGTAATAAAAAACATTTCATTGAAAGCAACATGTTGCGTACTTTTCCATATTTGTCAAACATTTACTTTGTTCGTATTTTCAACTGGTCTGCCCTCTTTTTTGACCACTAATCCCTTATATGTATACATATATGTTCTTATCTTTTATTCTTACAGAACGATTTTCATTTTGTTTGAGGCAATAATGGGGAATAGTTTGGGAGGGAAAAAGATGGCCAAGGTGATGAAGATAAACGGGGAGACGATGAAGTTGAAGACGCCGGTGACGGCGGAGGAGGTGTTGAGAGATTATCCGGGGCATGTTGTGTTAGAATCGGAAGCCGTTAAGCATTATGGTATACGAGCTAAGCCATTGCAGTCGAATCAAAGGTTGGAGCCGAAGAGGCTTTACTTCTTGGTGGTGTTGCCCGAGGCTCCCAAAGAGAGGGTTCCGAGGAGGGTTCGGTCGGGTATAAACATGAGTGCTAAAGACAGGCTGGAGAGCTTGATGTTGTCGAGGAGGTCGGTGTCGGACCTTACGCTTCTGAAACCGACAATCTCGATACCCGAGGGTGATGAAGAAGAAGAAGGGGAAGGAGGAGGAGGAGCAACGAGGGTGAAAATGAGGCTTCCCAAGGCCGAAGTCGAGATGTTGATGAAAGAAAGCGCGAGTGAGGAGGAGGCTGCGGAGAAAATCATGCAACTTTGCATGGGGATGACCGGAAGAAACAGCCCACGTGGTGAAGTTGCCGAGCGGCGACAAGTGCATTGGAACGGTGGCCGTGAGGTTAGTTTCTTACCAGACAACGACACTCTTTTCATGTTACTTTTCATAGATTTTACTAAGCTCGTTTAGACAAAATTAAATTAAAATTAATTAATTTAATATTTCTAACGGTCAAATATGTAGCAGGAGTCTTTGTTTATCTCTACTTAATGAGAAAAAGGGCAATCTAATACCAACATTTTGACCATACATACACCCATATGTTAAGATAATGCGATTATTGTACTTCCTTTGCAAATGGTACTTTTATATAGAAAAAAAAAATTCTATCGAGATTTTCAAATTTCCTAAGTTTTTGGAGTTTTATTACAGTATTTTTTTATCTAAACGCTGTTAATCTCATCAGCGATTAAATTTATTATATGATAGTCAAATTTATTATTTCTATAGATTTACAAATAGTAATCATCATCTTAGGTTTCACACTAATATTAAAAATCAATATATAAATCATTACTCAAAACTAAATAAAGACTCTCTCTCTTAGTCTTTTCTTAAGATCATCTACTCTCAATCTCCTTCGTCGAGTTACTCTCTTCCTTACAAGACATGCATGCACGTCTTGTCATATTTTGACTGATACTGGAATCATTAACTATAAAGTTATAATTTGTTTGCAGAAACGGGTGAGTTTCATGGCAATGAATGGAGGAGGCAGCCAAGTAGCAGTGAGTTCATAACAAAGCAAATATATTATAAATAAATGAAAGAGCAGAGGCATTGAAGTGCTCAGCCTACATTTTATATTGTTGCTTTCTTCTTCTGTACATACTCTGAAGCTTTAGTGCTTTCATGGAAGAGCTTAGAGAGGGTGCAGATGTAACCTTTTTTTTGGAGATGATTATATGGAATTTCTTCTACTTTCACTCTCTATCACACTTTATGCGTTCAATTGGTGAAATTAACAAATAATAAATATATCCTAATGACTCAGATCATGGAACAAATAGTTTCAAGAGTAAAAATAAATAAAGGGTTATTATTTGATATACAGCCTGAGTTAAATTTATTTTACATAATCTATATATTTTATCTTAAATTTTATACTTAAATCCTATATAGGACACGTGACATTAAGATAAATAAAATTGTATAAACCAAAATTTATACACTTCAGCTTTGAAAGCAGAATTTTCCCCTGGAAAGGTGTCTAACGAATTAAGTTGCCGATCCCATACATGCAAACTTATGAGTGAAAGCCTTATGTGATTCAATTCTAGGATGTCCACAGCTGCTGGACCAAGGTATGATGTCTCCATAACAACTGGTTGTAGCTATAGAACTCACTGCTACTTGGCTGCCTCCTCCATTCATTGCCATGAAACTCACCCGTCTCTGCAAACAAATTATAACTTTAGAGTTAGATGATTCCAGTATCTAGTCAACGAATGATACAAATTCATCTTTCTACAAATACAGGGTAAAGATAAAATAGATACACATAATATGGTATACAGGCTACTAAGAAATACTATATCAGTAAATAATATTCAGTGTGCTTACATTGTAATCATTTCTCTCCTTTCGAATCTGATCTCTCAGTTCCATAATGTGATTCGATAACTCGCTTCCGTTTGATGATTTACTCTTCAGTTCAATGCTGTCAAGTACATCAGATATTTCCGCATACAGCATTTCCGTTTTGACCATTAGCTATAGAACACAAAACAGTTACTTCAGGAATATGTGGATTTTATTGGCATAAGAACAAAAGGGAAATAGATAACAAACCTCGGCTGCCTCTCTTCTAATCCACTCCTGCTGAACATCTCCCCCAAATTCAAGCATTGATGGGGGCAAATGTACCGATAGTATATTGATTAGAGAAAAACGGAAGAATGCAACCATGTTGCCAAATCCGTCAAATCATACTCATGGGTATCAACATCATACTTAACTATCAAAAGGGACTAAAGGGTTAAACTTTACAGCATTTACCCATAAAAATGAAGGCATTCCCTCTGCAATGAATGACCACATGTTGCTGCGCGGTTAGCAGTTGCATGATTTGAAAAACTAAGCTCCAAGAACTTTCCAAAAGAAAGTCCCCAAGCAGCATCAGACATAATCACTCTACGAGTTGCTGGAGGAACCCCATCTATATGAGCACACCTAAGGCATCGGTGCCACATCCAGTTCCTTTCAGCACACACCTGCTTGAGATTGGAACCAATATACTCTGGTGTGTATCAGTGCCTGAAAAATACTCACTAAGCTTTATCTTCTTTAATTTTTCAAATTTTCAAATTCATTAATCTCGTAAAGATGCCTCCCATCTTCAATCATGGTTCTTGCAATTCAGATTGGGGAAAATCTCCAATATCGCAGGGCAACATAGTGAACATATTTAAATCCTTCATTTGCTCTAAAGAACACAAGTCCATGTCAACAATAGGAGCCAAATCATCAAGAGCAGAACCACCTGAAGAAGGGAAAAAATGACAAATCCCCCTGATCAGGCAATGATTCCAACACTTCTTGCTCAGGCTTGATACTCAGAGATGCGTCATTTTGAGCAGAAGAAATGACTACAATATTCAAACTGGATTGACTATTGTCAATTTGCATTTTCTCTGGCACAGCAATTGAATGTTTTATGTTAATCTTTGGAAGAGTAGAACCTTCATCGGCAAGAAAGGAAGTTTCAAGAGATAAGCGATAGGCTGCGAAAACAGCATATTGGACAACATGTTTAACCTTCTTCAGTTCATCACGAGATCTACCCCTCAGCAGGACCTATAAAGAGAAACAAAGCAATTTGATTAGAAACAACCATGTAAACATCCTAGGAAATTCTAACAATGATTAATGGATACATGCCGACAACAATGATTTCTTCAATTCCATCATACATGTCGATTATCCACATGTTTACAAGCCCAATGTTATTTTATCATCCACATGAGCACATCGATTACTACTCCTCAAAAGCCTATAAGGATCAGAAAGAGAAAAACCAACATTGAACTAAATCACATCTAATCTTCCAATACACTTCACTTTCTGCACTGAATACAGGACAAGAGCACTTCGAGGTGGCACAACAAGGATATAATCAGACCAAACAAATTAGTATACAAACAAATGTATTGATGGAGTGAGAGAAAGGCATAAAAGCAATTATTAGAAGAAGAAAAAGGAGTGGAGGCAGCTATTGTTGTAATAGAAAAGGAAGACAATGAAAGAATTTGGTCAGGCACCAACAAAGATGTTTCTGCCACAAAGAAAAACAAAAGAGAAATTAATTGAAAAAAAGGAAAACGCACTAGAGCTCCAGGAATGGAAACAATTTCAAAACTTCCCCAATAACACAACAAATAAATCATATGGATAGAAAGAAAATATTACCGTGCAACCTAAGCGCCTACGACAACCTTCAAAGAACATCAGTGTTTTTGATGGTTTCTTGTTGAACTGATTGGACATCTCATGTTCTTCGGATACTTTCTCCACTCGGAACAGTTCACAATGTCCCAATCGTGCAGTAGATAAATTATCAATAGATGGACAAACAAGACCACCACTGCACCTTGCTATACGCTCCAGTAATGGCCTTTTAACATTGAGCACTAATGATATTTCCTTTGCAAGTAGATACTCTTGAGCATATGAAGACACACTCTTTTCTACAAGCAAAACATTGGGCGGAGAGCCTCAATCTTTGCAATGAGCATCTTGAGATGATCATTTTCCTGTCAAATCACAAACAACTATATTAAGCAAATGAAATTGTTAATGACAGAAAAACCTTCAATTAACCTACATGAATGGAACAAATTTTTTTTAACAAACCTACAAGGAATCACAAATTATTTTCAAGGAGGAAACTAAATCAAATTCTTCCGCGACAACTAGTCATAAAACAATATTTACACATAAAAATCACAACATTATCAATAATATGACAACAAATTTCCCAAGGCACAAATTCAACGACGCCAATAAGAACCCCGAAATTAAAAAGTACAGCAGAAATTTGACCCAAAACAAACCCATAATTTAAAAAAAAATCAGAGCTTAAACGGTCTCAGATTCATCGAGAATGCATCCACATATTGATTCAAGCATCAAAATCATCGTGAAATATATGGGGTTTAGGCTTTTAGCTTTTGAAACCAAATCCGCAAACACGAAAGAGTTCAATCACTGTGAATAGCGAGAAGATGAAGAAAACAAATGTTAAAAGTACATAAATTATGCGCAACCAAAAACAAAACAACAACAAAAAAGCCTTTTCAGCGATTAGAAGTGAAGATTAAAATTAGATGCTAGGAAAAATGATAATGAAAAGGAGGAAAAGTAGTACGGAGAAAGTTCCTTTCCTACCGGAATCTGCAAGCATTTCCATTGACCATAAACTCTCCTTCGCAACATCAACACTTCTCTTCTTCGTACCAAAAAAAAAACACTTCTCTTCCTTATTCTTTGCTCACTAATAATATTATCTCTGCCGCCATTTCCCTTCCCTTTAAGACCTTATCCCTTAACTATTATTTTTTCAGCTCTTTCGGCGCTTTTGTTTCTCTCTCTCTTTCTCCTGCTGTGTTATTCTTGTTTTCTATTGGGTAAACTATACGGATGATCACCTAACTATTACTTCATTTCACTTTGACAATTAATGTTTCAATTTCATTAATCAAATTATCTAAATTATTTAAATATTTTAATGAAACTATCAACTGTTAACTTTTTAATAAAGAAGATGACGTGACAGGAAAAAAAGCTTTTTAACTGGAGCTAATATTTGTATTGGGTTTGCAGATCACAACGTGGTTATTGATGGGAGGACTTTCAACAGCTTTATCAAGACATGGGCATCAATTTTCAAAGACCTTTCTTCTTTCTCAATCTACTCATCATCTCTACTTCCTTTTAACGATAAAAATGTGATAAAAGATAGTTACGAGCTACAGGCCATTTTCTTGAACTATTAGAGCAGCAAGCCAGCAACATAAGATCTAGTCAACGCATGGTCATAGGTGCTTCAACCTCAGAGTCGGACTCAGTGTTAGCCATGGTTAGAGCCACTTTCCTTGTGTGCCCTGCTGATACGGAGAAGATTAAACACTGGATTATTGAGAGATGCAAGGCGGAGAAAATGGCTTAGCCTCCACGCTTATCACTTCTAATTTAAGATGCGCTTTTGAGTGGGTGTGTTTGATAAAATCCCGAGAGAGTTAATGTTAAGCTAATCGGTAAGAACCCGAGTTACTCAGGGTTCAATGCGGGTTGTTTAAACCGATTGGACTACCCGGTCCCGACTACTTATTTTGATAACTGCATTGGATTTGCTCGAACTATGGCAACTCAAAGTGAGCTTTGCGGAAAGGATGGGATAATCGTCGCAACGAATGAGGTCGGAAGCAAAGTTAAGGATTTGGATGAATCATTTCTGGACGGACAGAAAATTGGTATAATTGGTATAATGTATAAATATTGAAGATTAAATATGTAATTATATCATATTTTTTTAATTGTTCGTTAAAAGTTAACAATATGACTTTATTGAAATAATTAAATAATTTAATTGATGAAATTAAAATATTGGTGGTCAAAATAAAAGAGTACAATAGTCTACACCCGTGTAGTTTACCTTTTTTTTTATTTGAATTGTTTGATTTGATTAGGGTTTATGTATTTTAATGAGTGAGAGTTGTAGCTGATTGGCCATCATATTAAATATCATTTACTACTCTTTTTTATTTCTTTGAGAAAATAACCTCAGTGACCAAAAATGCCTTATAATATACGATTTTAACTAATTTTTTTTTTGGATTTGTCAAAATGACCAACTAAATCGCAATGCGATCTCCGGTATCGCAAATCAGTTTCCAGATTCGCAACGCGATTTTGACTATCGCATTGCGATTTCCCAAATTCGCGTTACGATTTCCCAAATTCGCGTTGCGGTTTTCCAAATTCGCGTTGCGGTTTTCCTAATTCGCAATGCGAATACGTAAATCGCAACGCAATTACGTAAATCGCAACGCAATTCTGACTATCGCAACGAGTATCCGTAAAATCGCAACGCGTATCCGTAAATCGCAACGACAATACGTAAAATCGCAACGCGTATCCGTAAATCGCAACGAGAATACGTAAATCGCAACGCGTATCTGTAAATCGCAACAAGAATACGTAAATCGCAATCCGTATCCGTAAATCGCAACGACAATACGTAAAATCGCAACACGATTTTTAAAGCGCCATTACAATCGCTACGCGTATTTTATTTTCAAATTCCAAACACGAATATTAATTATCGGAACACTGAACCGTCCACAGTATATCCCGTAATCGTAACTCATAACCTAAAACCTAAAATCACAACACAGTCCCATCTCCATCTCTCACTCTCTACGGTAAAATCCATCCCCATCTCCAAATATTTCCGTCCCCATCTCCGGCAAAATCCCTCACAACCATTCACGGTCAGAAATCCCTCACAATCATTCAGAAATGGAAAATCATTCTCCGAGGGTTAGTTTTTTTTAATTATTTTTATTTTGAAATTTTTGCATTATTTTAGGTTTTTCATATTGAAATTGATGATAAGTTTACTGGTAATTTCAATAATAGATTAACCATTTCACTTAGATTTCTTATTAAATTCATTCGATTACTGCCAATACTGCTAAACTGTTTAGTCTTTAACCCTGTGAAGTTAGTATTTGTCTTTGTTTTGTCTTTTGGTTGAAGTAATGCAATCCATTAAAGTTTCAATTTGCAGAAGAAGAATAGTTTCTAAACTTAAAATCGCAACATGAAAATGAAAATCACAACACGAAAATGACCATCGCAACGAGAGAAATGAAAATCGCAACGAGAGAATCACAACGCGAAATTAAAATCGCAACGTGAAACCAAAATCGCATTGCGATTTTCATTTCGCGTTGCGATTCTCTCGTTGCGATAGTCATTTCCGCGTTGCGATAGTCATTCTCTCGTTGCGATTTTCATTTCAACCAAAAGACAAAACAGTGTTGCAAATTTTAGTTTCAAGAATAAACTACTACTCTTTATGTTTATTGTTTTTGGTATATCTTCACAGTGTAGTTTTTGGTATATCTAACTTGGTATGTTTATTGTTTTTGTAGAATTTTTTTTCGACTTCATTGACATTAAGGAATAAAGTTAGCCTAGCCACTACAATTGCTTCGAGGCTTTCACCTGCACAAAGAAAATTGTTTGAGGAAACCTGCTTCGGGCCATGGCTGAGAGTACAGTATCCGGGTGGAGATGCTAATTTGACCCATTTGTGGCTTCAGACCATGACTAGCGATCTACCCGACAGTATACAACGTGATGAGGAACTGAGGAAGAGATATGGTTTTATTTTCCACCGGCGTATACTTGTTTTGGGCGGAAGGATTTCTCCTTAATCACTGGTCTACGATTCGAACACGATGATGTAGGCCGGTACACTCGTCATAGCACCCGCCCATCATGGTTATCCCGGGTTTTTCCTGATGAGTCAATAGAGAAGCCAAACTTACACGTCGACGACCTTAAGAAATTGTTTAATAAGAAAGATGGTTTTACTCGGATGAATGACGCCGATGTTGTCCGAGTATGCCTTCTAGTACTTTTGTATGCCGGCTTTTTAGGCAGAGAGGCCAGACAACCTATTCATCAGGAGCTAATATTATTGGTAGAGGACCTAAATGCATGGAATCTGTTTCCGTGGGGTTCGTATATATGGAAAGCTACCTGGACTAAGTTGTCGTATGCCTTTGATGACCGCAAAAGTTTGCATGGCGATGGGTCGAAATACACTTTGTCAGGCTTTGTTTGGGCCTTTAAGGTAAGAATTTCTATATAATGTTTTCAAAATTATAATTAATTATTTAACAATTACTAATGTTTGTTATTATTTTGTTTATAGATTTGGATATTCGAGGCTTTCCCCAGCATGCGGACATATGCATTAAAAACTTCAAATGATATTCCTAGGGCTATTTCCTGGAAGAGGAAACGTCTGTTGGATTGGGAATACTTAATACCATATGCGACAATAAATAATGTAAGTTAACACAAATACTATCATATATAAACAAGTTATTAATAGTAGACGTTTAACTTTGTTTGAGTTTTTATATTTTTAGGAGGCCAACACTCCATTATAGAGACTGACACCCACGGAGGCTGAGCTTGCCACTGATTGGTGGCAAGCTAGTCAGCGTTTTTTTGATGGCACGAATGATGAGCAGCCTCCATTTCCTCCACTTCGAGAGACATCACCTCACCCAGAGCCATCACCTGATCGACCCGACTATACACCTCTACAACGAGAGCCATCACCTATCCCGTCACATCATCAAGCCTCTTCTCCACCATCACCTCATGATAGGCGACCGGCAAAGATGCCACGACTTCTATCTCCCTGTTCTCCACCTCCACCTCCACGGGATGAGTCAAGGGAGTTACGTGATGAGGTCAATGCCTTGTGTGAGGAGATCGGTACTCTACGCGATAACGATGGTGCATGGCGTGTGGAGGTGTCTACTTTACGTGGTGAGGTTGCCGCTCTAAGTGAGATGGTAGTATCGTTGCAGAATGAGGTTCATACTCTACGCAACGAGGTAAGTTTAAGATTTTCCATATTTAACTTGATGATAAATTTACTCGTAATTTCACTTAGATTAACCATTTCACTTAGATTGCTTAGTAAATTTATTTGGTTGCTACCAAT